TACTAAGGATTATCATTAAATTAAACAGTATTACAAAATTGATACTGCGCTGGCCTTGTGATGCCGATTAGTGCTATAATCAAATTTACTCTATTATATTGATCATTGATTATTACTGATCCTAAGTAAATTCAAAGGGAAGGAAAGTTCATCAACTTTTAAGAAATATTAATTTAAATAAATCAACTGATGAAACGAATGTGTAAGAATATCAAAGAAAAATATTAAAACAGATCACCGAAAGGCGTTACACTTTAAAAAATCGACCATTGCCGTAGGAATTGAAAAGGTAATCTTTGCTTTAAAGCCAATTAGGCAAAAGAGTAAACGCAGCGGATTATAGAACGACCGGTCAGCTATATAGGAGAGCGAGCCAAAAGGGTGTGCAGCGCGTTGAAAGCTATTGAATCGAGGCATGTGTGTGAGCGCGCGCGCGAGCTGACATGAATTTAATTATCGAAGCGTCCCATCCGCTCGCGTATACGTACTTACGCGTGTTTGCCGTTGGCTTTATACAGACGAGAGCGAGATGAGTGCAGTATCGTCGCATATACATACTTGGCAATGCATATATACCGGGAGAGAAGAGGGCTTTTAATAAAAAGCCATCGGCTCGGGCGTGTAGGCGAGGGAAAATCCGATATACATACAAGCGCTGCAAGTGAATATTTTCTCTTCCGGGTTTTCTTCCTTTTTCCGATCGACCCCTCGCGCTTATAGTGGCCGCACGTATGGTTTTTTCGCCCAGACTTTACGCTATATCGGCTTTGCAGCAGCAGCAGCAGCGGCATCGCACAGCGCATATGTACACGTGCTAATACTCTTTGATAACCAATTAACGCGGCCGCCATTTCAATCTAATAAATATACGTTCGAGAGATCGTATAGCCCACGAGTGCTTTTCTTTTTCAAACTGACACAGCGCTTGAATTCACACTCCCATGTCTGCCTTAAAAAGCTGACTTTTATTCTGCATAAATCTTTCAGATAAATCACGGTATTTTAAGCATTTGAATGTAATAACCAAGAGACGCTTCACCCCGAAGAATATGTTTTATGTATAAATTAATACAATTTCAATGAGCTTGCAAGTTGCGCTTGGAAAAGCAGCACATATGCTTGGTTCAAATTAACGATTTTTAGCGCGATTCACAATCAATCGTGTACTTGATTGACTGCGGTGTTGGTCAAAGGGAAGGCTCGTTAGGCTGCATTAGCCACATTAATTGCATTTCTAGCGCAGCTTTTTCTCTGTCATCAAAAAGCAGCTACCCTGCAAATACATTAGTCGTTCGTACGGTGCATCTAAATGGAATCGTTGAACAGGTCATTTGTAACCGAAGAATGAAAAGTGAGCAGGGCATCAATAATTCAGCTCGTACACCGGTCGGAATCAAAATCATTAATTAGTAAATTCTTTCGAGAAGCTAGCGAACGCGACGCTAAATGCGTAACGATTAGTAGATTTCGAAGACAAACGCGCAAAAGAGAGAGAAAGAGAGAAAGAGATTGAGAGAGGACACGCGAAAAAAGGTCGCTCGGTGAAAAGAAAACAAGCCACTAATGGTCGGTTTGGTATTCCAGTCACAGTGTGCGCCGAGGACGGCGATTTAAGCACGCAGACCCCGGACGACGTGTATAGAGAGGTTCGATTAGCGAACACCTGACTTGTTGTCGTCGGTCGCACTTTTGCCCGCGTCAATCAGATCCGCTAACACGGGCATCGCTTACATGCAAATCCGCACTTGGCGCGCGCCGTACGTTAAATCCCTTGGCTATGCTGCAGGCGATGGTCAGGAGGCGCGTGTGTGTTTCCACTCACCGGAATACCGAATGAGTAAAGAGAGCAAGAGAGAAAGAAAACTAAAAAAAAGAAGCAGTGATCGGACGCGCGCAGTGGCGAGTGAAAGAAAAAAAGAAGTAACTGATAACCACAGACCGAAGCGCAAAGAGAGAGAGAGAGAGGAGAGGGAAAGAAAACAAGGCGCAAAAAATGTCCCACGTGCATGTACGTACACTACGGTAGACGCGAGCGCGTGAACGACAGTCAGAGAGAGAGAAAAAAAGGTGTACAGCTAGCGAGCGAGGCAACAAAGCAAGTACATATCGAGAGAGAGTGAGAGGATGAAGGGGACAACACGGAAAGAGGCGAGGGACAGTGAAAGCGAGAGGCGCGATGTATTAATTACCGGTATTGATGTCCATTTGCAGTGAATTGATGTGTGGTTGCAGCAACAGCGGCAGGCGAGCAGTGTTGCATATGTATGCGAGCTGGCGTAGCGAGTGAGCTCATGGGGGGATAGGGTAGTCTGCTCCTCGCTCTCACTCTGTTCTGCACTGCATCGCACTGCACAGACTGCACAGGCACGCATATGCAACAGTCAAGAGGGGACTATAACTGCATATAGACACGGCTGTATCCTGACCCCCTCGTGTACATCCATCCATATATGCCTCGCACGCACGCGGATGCCGATGATCCCCTTCGCCGCAATGGATTATTCGCGATTCGACGCGTGCCCCGGTACTCGTGTCAAGATAGGCTCGCGCGCGCAAAGCAGACCAGATACATCACGGCTGATTCCAAGCGTTTGACGCCTCGCCCGTGCACTTGTTAAAATCGACTAATTGTCTCTCTCTATCTCTTTCTCTCGCTCCCGCTCTCAATCTCCTACGATACTCTGTTTTCGAGCTGTTTTCGACAACATATATAATGCACTGCGTTATACGCCTGTACGTATATCGATGCGAGAAATGCAAGCCTCGATCTTTAGGAGACGTCCCCAGACGAACATAACGTATGCATGCGTACACGTCGGAGGAGGACAACGTCGACGAGGAGGTATGAGACGATATTATAGAGAGCCAGCGCTAGGCCGCATACATTGGAATATAGGATGCGCGCAGCTAGGAGCCCAGGCCGAGATTTACGAGGACACGCTGGGGTCTTTAGTCGCTTATTAGCATGTGGTATATTACTTTGGAGACGGGGCCGAGGAGCTAGGAGCTGCAGCTCGTGGATGCGGCTCGAGTGGCAGTAGCTACTATACAAAGCTACTCGCGGAGGAGACAATAATTAGATAGATACGGAGACGTTATGCCGCAACGTAAACCCCCGAATTCTAAGCGCGCAGGCGATACATCTATCTATACAATGTCACGACGTTGCGCTCGCTCGTCTCTGTGTGTGCATGCAACGACGACGACTGCGACGACGACGACGACGACGACGACGACGACGATGACGTTAGTGCAGAGCTCGAGTCTCGGCTCGCCTTACACTGTCCCCGTATCCATACAACCACTTGTATGGCATTCAATGTATATTATTGTTATTATCATTATTATATATACCCGCATATATTGTATATAGCATATATATTATGTATATGCGCGTGCACGTAAATGGGCATCGTGGAAGCTGCGCCGGGCTACGTCGAGGAAGCTCGCTTGTAATGCCACTGAGCGCTCCGACGACTGACCTCTATACGTACGTACGCGTACGTACGCGGAGTTACATGCAAATAACCCGCTCGCTTCTCTCCAAGAGATGACAAACAGTACCTATTGATTATTCTACGGAATTTCCTGTGCGTTACGCCGCTCGTATTAATTACACGTACGCGCATATACCGGGGAGCCTCTGGCATAATATTGTTGCATTGAATAACATATAGTCTAATGCGTTTGTATGCATAAGCAGCGACGTGCACGCGTGTATGCGCACATTTAAGGGATCCGCTCGAGAAAGAGAAAGACGAACGGCGAGCTTTGAAGGGGCTAAACTGCTTGTACTACTGCTACGACGATTAATAGCGTATACCTCGAGATTATCCGAGTAGGTCTACGAGCGATGCGGTTTGTACGAATTCAAACCTCATCGCAAGCCTCCGCGATTCGCCAGTCCGAATTATATGCCTGCGTTGTCGACGGCGCGCGATCACACGCGAGAGTAGCTGCAAAATTGGAATCGAGTTGCAGAAGCCAAGCTCGAAAGAGATGGAAAGAACCAGGCATTATGTACGCTGGAATTTTTAAATGCCCCCAAAACTTAATTGCCAAGACTTCGCTCAGAACATTACTTAAAGAGAATGGATGAGGGGAAATATATAGGTTATATCGCGTCAACTGTCCCCCCTCTTTTTCATTTGATTTTTCACATTTAATTCTGCTTCCCAAGGGTGAATGTGAAAAAATTGTTGAAACATGACTTTTTACGTAAAACTTGATGAGGAATTCAAGTTTAATGTCATTAATCATATTCATAACCTCAAACTTCCTAAATTATTAAGAATCAGTCTCAAAGCCAAAAATAAACATGTTCGCATCCAGCGATATGGCCAATATTGTAACATGTTCATCTATACATCTAAATACAACTTCTGATAAATTTTGGTCGTCGGTTGAAAATCAGAACTAATTCTTCAGCTGTCGAAAGACCTAAAAACATAGTTTTTTTATGAATTTTACATGTTTTTAGGTCTTTCGATAGCTGAAGAATTAGTTCTGAATTGCTGGAGTAAAAATGTAAACTATAAAATTTCCCACTAAAAATTTTGTAGATTCCGAATTTTAATTTTTCCGAAATTTTTTCATTCCGAAATTTTTTTATTCCGAAATTTTGTTTTTCCGAATTTTTCATGTTCCGTTTTCAATATTCCGATTTTCAAACATTCCATATTTTACACATTCCGAAATTTGAACATGACTCAATTGCTGAACGGCATTGAAACGACCATATCTCTTCATTCCTTCCTCATTTATTTTGCCATTTTTGGTTGATAAAGTAAAATTTTTACACAATGCTCTCGAAGATATAGAAAATGAAAAAAAAACAACTACAAAAAAATAAAAATTTACCACCACAACTTACACGTAAAGCCTGTAGACAGAAAACCTTTTAGATAATGGAGATAACTTAACAATACGTAATGCGTCTAGAATCAAGTACTCAATACAAATGAAATGTTGAATGACGCATTGAACAAGGCTTTGGCTTATTGATCAGTTCTTTGTCGCTTTCCAACGAGTGAATATCTTCGCTCTTCTTTTTAGGTTTGGGTTCAAGTTAATAAACCACCAAAAATGTAAGTAATTAAAATAAAGTGTAAATATTTAAAATTTTAAGTTTTAAAAATTAAATTATTATTTTTATCCTTTCTTTCTGTATAAATATTATTATCTTCAATATGAGATATTCATGTATAGTGAAATAGCCAGGGTCATAAATGTAATTAGCGATTTATCCTTATACGTCAAAGATATTGACTATATCATTTGATAAGTCTGTATTTATTCAAAGTTTCAAAAAAAGAACGTTTGGTTAAATAGTTAAAAAATACATTCATCAATTTGATGATTCAAGACTCCGTACAAGGCCTTCGTACAACAACGTTGATGATAGTCTTATAGTAGCTCATACACAAAAATTATACTTGCAATTTTTAATTTATGTAAAAAACGTCCATACTTTTATACGATTTTGGGCGATGCACGAACTAAAATAAATCTACATCTCATTTCCTTTATTGAAAAACATTTTACTTATATCTTATATGAAAAGTTATAATTGTAACGTTATCTATTACAAGCGATTATAATGATAAATCTTATCAAGTAATAATGCAAAAACCGTTGCTATACAATTTCAATGTGATTCCTCGTATTTCTCAAGTTGAAGGCTAGCACGAGTTATTCAAATTTTGTTTAATTTATTAATATTATTGATATTATTCTTTAATTATTCTCATTACACCTCATTTGCTGACACATAATTTTTATGAAAAACAATTGTTAGGAAATCTTTGTTATTAAAAAAATATATAAATCTTTAAAAATATTTTTAATCAAATAAGCAAGAAGCGCGCTGTAATCGATTAAACTTTATTGCGTGAGATAATTTTTTACTTTTTTTATACGCATAAAAATGATAACATTTATTTTTACAGCTTGGTTAAATGCGACAGGAAAATATAGAGAAAAACAACGATACCAGTGCACTAGTTGATCGACGTCCAATATGACGACCAAAGCAAATGGAATGAATGGTTTTGAGTTGATCGATTTTGAAGAAAATAATTTGATGTATTCACGCGAATTGTTGATCACAAAGGATATCCGCGAGGGTCTGGATTTTATGGGAAAGATACTGCAAAGAGTCATTAAATCGTATTTTAGAACATTAAAAAGTAAACAAAAATCCTTTCAAAAATTTTATCAGACCAACAGGCTGAATTTATTATACTCCAAATCGACACTCGATGATGTCGATAAAACCATAAAATGCATCAAACGCACAGAACAGGCTTTATCAAAATGGGAAACTAAAATACAATGTGATATTGTAAACATAACATTGTTACTTGACAAATATGATTGTGCGAAATTGACTCTTAATAACAATCTCAGCAATAATTCTCAAAATCCATTTGGATTTTTCGAAACAAATTTTGTTATCGCCAAACGTAAGATGCGGCGCTGTAATTCGTTGCTCCGATCAGAGGGAAGTTTTCGCAAAATCGAAAAAAAATTGCAAGTATTGATTCGCGCACTTCAATCCAATATACGTTTGTTTAATCGACGCATTATTCGCGTAGGAAAGTCCGATCTAAACTTGCATGATCCGATACGTATGATTTCCAATTTATCAGATCGGATAACGCCTTTGGAAAGTGCTTATGAAGATGTTGCAGATATGTTCACTGCAAATCCAATCAACATGGATGTTAGTTCTGCAGAGTTTACCATACCCACTATAGAAATAGATAATTTTCTACTTAATCTTGATCAAATAAACAACGATTGTAATAATACAAATAATCACGCTCATGGATCAACAATCTATTCATAAAATACACAGCGAGATCAATAAAACATTTTTAAAATTAGAAAGCTTCAGAAATAAGTGTTTATTTTATACTTATTCCACTGAAATGAGAGGAAAATTCAAGTGAAAATTATATTTACGATTTATTATTTGGTAGTGCTGCAAGATTGTTACTGAGAAACAACGTTTTGAAAATGAGATAAAACTTACTTACTATTTATCTAAAATGAATTTTAAATAATTAAAAAAGCTCCTTTAACTAGAATATTGTAATTTAATTCATACAATTTAACTCATATGGTTCATATGGTTTTACCATGCAGCCTAATGCAATCATGGTCAGTGCAGGATCAAGTAATGATGATAGGTAAAGCGATAGAGATAAATAAATATGAATCAAAATTATCATGCTAAAAATTTCCTACTTAGATACACGTTGATAAAATGTATACATAAATGAACGATAAAATTTTCACAATAAAAATTTACCATAACAAGAGATAAATCACTATTAATTCACGAATTTCGAAACAGCGAATTGCAAATGTGTGTTACCCTGCACTCTAAGTGAGTGGTGATTCTTTCCAATGGAACGGTGAAATTTCTTATGCTTATACACGTTCCACCACTTTGTTGGATCGGGCAGAATTAACGCTCACCCAGTATACTTCTAATATAAGCTGTAAATCGAAAATTATTTTCTCATCAAGATCTGTACGTGCAATTATAATGAAAATAAAAGATTCACCGTTTTTTATTCCATAATTTTCAAAAATGATTATCAACATTTTATCAAATTCTAACAAACTTGTGTTGTTTTAAATACTTATAAAAATGTATAAATCTAATTTTAAAACAATTTTCATACAATTTTGAGTTTTTTTTTTTAACTAGGTTGTATGCCCATGCCAACACGAGATTGTAGTTGTATAATGTATATGCTTTCACGGGATATCTTACCGCAATGCGCGATCTGTGGTCGCTATCCGCATTCGATTTCTGCACCGACCCCCTCGCGATAGCAACGCGGCCAAAACAGCGCTGCATATCCTCTGACAGTGACATTCAATATCATCCATGTTTGCGGCCTATAACGTGACGACTTGAGGCGCGAATCAAAATTTGACGTTATAACGCAGCATTGCAGCTTGCTTACATTTCGATAAATGAACGCAAAATGAATTCGTCACATTTGAGGCATGTGCGGGCTCCTGACACAGCTCTGAATGACAGAATCAAATAGAAACAGTCTTCGATAAGTTGCGAAGGAGTTGCGCGTATGTTACGCGCGGAGCCATCCGTAGATGCGTGAGTGCGGTGTGCACATATATACTTACTCAGGTGCAAACAAACAAATGTCTAAGCTTTGTACTAGGTGAGTAAGTGTCTAGGCAGGACATCGTAGATACGGCCATGTATAATACATGCGTGACGGCGCTGGAGCAGCCCAAGAAGCTGGAGCGCATACATATACATACGGGCATGAGGCATGTACGCGTAATATATCCTGACTGCTGTCGTTTGTCATCGAGGCTAATTTGAGCCAGCTCTTGAGATGTGTGTATATATGTGCGGGTGAGCGCGAGCGTGGGGTCATTATTAAGATGCGAATTAGTAACAATTTGCTCGCCGGATTTACTCTCTCCTCGAGGCTCGAGTCTGAACTGTTTATGACGCCCGGCTCTACCAGCGGATTAGCCTGACACCTAAGATCAATACGCGACTGCTGAGCTGCAGCTGAGACACCTATTATATAATATATCTAACATCATTCCGCGATAATTAATATCAACATCTTTGCCACTTACTATAAACGAACAAATCAGCTGCACTCTACTGCTGATCGGCAATATTCGACTGCTATGTATATAATCTCATTGCAAACGAACACCTTTGAGAAAACAAAATGCTAATATAGACAGCAGGGTGGTGAGTAGATATTTAAATCGAGTTTGACGAGTTTTGAGTAATTAAAAAACCTAGAATAATTGAAAAAAGGGTGAGTAGCTTAAAATAAATTCTAAACTTGACAAATACTCGAGTACTCGAAAAATTGAGTCACAGCCCTGGTCTAGAGACATTTGAAACGACTAATTTTCAGAATAATTCCTCGGAACTCTCTGAATGAGCAAACGAAGTTTACATATACGCATATACATTATCGGGAAAATTCGTGGCTCGAGGTTCAACGAACGCATCCATTGGGAAAAAGGTTAAATTTCTGTAACCACACGAGGTTCTATTATAATAAAAAAGCGGAAGGAGAAGAAAGTACGGACGTACGAAGCGAATTGGGAAAAGCCACTGGTCGTGCAAGTTGAATTCGTTTCAGTTATAGCCAGTAGCAGCGGGAGGCAAAAGAGAGAGAAAAAACATGGACATCGAATGTGTATTGGAGGTCGCAGAGACACAATGAGGGGTGGCATTATATTGCGGCTTGTTCTGCTTGAGAAACTTTGCACTGTGGTCTCCACACTGCTCTCTCACTCTCTTCGAAAAAGCAGTGAGCGTCTCTCTCGCTCTCTCTTTCTCTTTCTGCTATTTCTCCAACGATCATCCTTTACAATTGCCAAGCCCCGTCGAGACACATGCAAGATCCTCGTTAGGATTATTTTTTGCCTCTTTTTTCAGCGGTCGTTCGAGAAATTGAAGCATAGACTAATTGTTTTCTCTTTTCAAAACGAATAAACATGACAAATTCATGGCGCGAACGCGCGCAGAACGCATGGCATTGTTAATAATGCCGTATCGCTGAATTCGACTAGTTATTAATGATCCGGCGGTATTAAAATCAAGCCTGAAGCTAATGAATTTTTGCGGAGGGTACGTCGCGAGGGAGACGTGGAGCAAGGAGAGTGAGAGAGAGGCATAGCTTTGAAACTGAAGGAGAAAGGAACGGGTACGTATACATACGCGCATATGTAGAGAAAGGAGGGAGTGAAGGAAGAGAAAGAGAATACGTACTGCCAAGGGTCAGCTGTATATGCGTTAGCGTCTGTGTGCGAGTGTGTGTGCGTGGAAAGACGAAAAGCAGCAGCAGCAGCAGCACCGGAGAAATAACAGAGGGGGGTGCAATGGTCCGACGAGTTAGATTGCGAACTGGGCAATACCCGCAGCTCGACGGCTGCTGGACGAGCGCCTCTTGCTCTCGCACTAGCTCTGCCTCTCGAGCGCTCCATTGTCTAAGTTGAATGGGCTTTTGCAAGATTTATTTCGTATATTTCACTTGCCGTTTCAATGGGCGATATAGCGCAAGCACATACGCGTCTCTCTCTCTCTTTCTCTCTTCCCTGCCTTGTAGACTATACGCGCAGTCGAGCAACTTTGACGGACTCGGACGAGCTTTCTTCAATGTAAAACTCCCACGTATACATTTCGAAGTGTGTTCATGAGTAGCCGAAAGAGAGAGGGAGGGAGGGAGAGAGAGAGAGAGGTTGGAAAAAACGACTCTTTATCAACACGCCGTACAATCAACTGCTTCGCCGGAAAAGTTTTAATCGCTGTGCCACCTCGCCGAGTGATTCAATCGTCCGACGATGATTCTCGATGCCCACGTATCATCAAAACATAAATCGAATTTCGCGGCTGTATGTATGTAGAGCTTCCGCGCGCGTATACCCGTTCATCCATGAAAAATGGACCGGCTAAATATTTATGGCGTTCTCTCGCGGGCAAAAATATTAATGGTGATTTATATACGCCCGAGCAGTGGTCGAGCAGCACCAAGCTTACAACGGCTAATAGTTACTGTCTGCGTGTATTGTGCGCTATAAGCTCGATGAGTGTACGTGTGTGTGTGTAAATATAGCTCTCTACACTCCAGGGGGGAAAGAGAGGGTTTCAGCTGAAACAAGACGAACTTTTCCGCCATGATATTAGGGACCACTGCTACTGCTCCATGTATACGTATCAAACCTGCACAGCTGTAGCTTGGGAAATTATTTAACGTAAAGGATAACTCGAAAAATACGTATATTTACGAGATACACGAGTAAGATGCGCTCGTCCACAGCAGTATATTCGCATTTTGCAAAGTTTGACCTAATAAAAACAAGTCGTCAATTTGTCCAAACGCGAATACTTTGCTACGTGCGAGCTACGCACCTCATAATCCGTACAAGAGCATGGCAAACGACAATTTTTTCTCTTTACCATTTCTTCGTGAGCGAATATATACGAAATTAAAGTACCAATTAAACGAGCGAGATATAAAAAATGCCGAAGCATGGGGAGCATTAGCAGGAGTATAAGAGTAGTATATAGTAGCTCGATGCCGAAGTGTACGACAAGTCCTTATCGCGGTCACAAATTAAAAATAATTATTTTTCCGGCTCGAAACCTTAATCAAGCGAAGGGCCGTGATAAAAGTGCCACTGTAACGAGAAAACGGGCGAGCTGCTGGCTATAATCCAACCCGATGAGATTCTTGTCAATGAGTTATCGGCGTCTTCCATACCAGAAGCGAAAGCAGCACATGGGGGTAAGGGGGAGGTGGGTATATAGAGGCGGCACATGGAGAGCTGTCGCTGGTGCCGCCTCAACCCCTTTTCGCCACGCTTTATTGCGTCTCAACCCTTTTTCAAGCTTCTTTCGCCGGGCTCTAAAAAGGGAAAAATGCGCGCAGGAGAGAGAGAGAGGCCGAACATCGATTGCTTCGAGAGAGCCTCAAGGGTCTCTTGAAACCCCTTTTATAAGCTTGCTCTCTCAGATAATCGAAAAAACGCGCCGAGATCCACACTGCTATAGTTATGTTCGTAGACGTCGTACTATATATATGCTGTATACTCACTTAAGCAGCTTTTGATTTATACTAGTCATTAAAGATAAATAGAACATAGTTAAGCTGATGGTAGATTTTGCATGAGCTTGCTTTATCGATTTGCTACATGATCCTTGCCTTATCAAGTTTTGAATTAGTAGCGATGAACTTGAACTTTATAGTTTTTTTTGAAATTCTGGTGTTTAAAATTTGAAAAACGTTATTTTTTAATGGTTAATCACTAACCATCCAAGTAGTTCTCATGTTATTTTCAATGCAAAGACGCTAAAAAACAATAATACAATTTTTGGACAAGTTTTACTGCAACATCGAGAATAAAAAAATGACAAGGTTGTTGATAACACCTCTAGATTAAAAAATTCAACTTTTTGACGTCGCGCAGTGTTTCCCCTGTTTTTTCGCGGTATTAGACAGTTTATTTATAGGCTTTCATTGCGATAAAGTATGAGAAAAAAGGGTGCGCGCAAGAATACATAAGGAGGAAGAGCCAACGCCGTTGCCACCAACGTTGTCGCGAAACACTGACTGCAATTATTTTCACGGCAGTTTTTCCGTCGAGCGCCAGGAGAGCAACAGCTCCTCGAATGGAAGAGAGAGAAAGAGAGAAAAAGTAAGGAGGGAGAAAGAAAAAAGCCCCCCTTCCGATCCCTCGCGGCTTCTTTTTCGCGCCAAAGACTTCCGAGTCGTCGCGCACTCGGCTTGCTCTACTCCGTTCCGGT